CGTCCTAGGAGGACAGAACACGACGAGAGGTGGGGTGGTAGAACTGCCACCCAGGGTTGTCAGGGGGGAAGCCAAGGAAGACACAGGGAGCAGCACGAGGGGACAACTTGTCCGCAGACAAGTCGCGGACAAACGCCCGAGATCCCCAGACACGGAACGCAGACGCATCGCCGACCTTCCCCGTCCACAGCAAGGCTGGGGAGGTCTCCGGTCTGGAGACCCTGGGGTGAAGGTTGATCTGATGCGCCGCGTACCGAACCGCAAATGGCCACAGAAAATGGGGGGCAGCCGCATGCATCATGGACGTACGAGCGACGTCCATGACCATGCCAATGCGGCGCTCAGCAATCCCATTTTGCTGTGGAGAGTCCAGAAGCGTGAAGGTCTGGCGGATGCCTCGCGCACGACAGTAGGCTCGCAGAAGGCCAAAGGAGAACTCTCCGCTTCGGTCAGAGTGCAGACGCAGAACAAAGTCCGAGCCGAAGCTCCTCCTGAGCTGGAGACGAGCTGCGCGGATCCAGGCGATCAACACCTTAGCAACATCACCCTTGCTGCGCAAGGGGAAGACTGAGGTGTAACGCGAGTAGTCGTCAACCACCAGCAGGAAGTAGCGCTCGTGACCCTGTCCACGGACGCGGGCCGGGCCCCACACGTCCATGTGAAGCGTCTGCAGCGGGGCCTCTGTCGGGGGAAACTGAGAGGAGTGAGGGGCAGCTCGGAGCCGCCCCTCGACACAGGGGACACAGGAAGGACCAGGCCCCGGAGGAAGGGGAGGGAGGGACCGAGGAAGACCAGAGACAAGGACAAGGGAAGCCATGCCTCGGAGACGAGGCAGGGAGGGGTGACCAAGACGGTGGTGCCAGAGGAGAGTCTCGTGAGACAGGAGGCGACACGAGCAGGGGGCAGACTCAGGACTAGACCTGGACGCTGCAGTAAACACCTGACCCGACGCAGCTACCTGACCAGACGCAGTGATTGGAGGAGACTCAGTGGTCAGTGTGTACAGGCTCGACCCCGGCCGACGTGTAAACGTGGCCAGGTGTCGGCCTGTCCGAGCGTCCGTGCAGTGGGTCACCCGCTGACTCGCAGGAGTGAACTGGTGAACCCCCGTATCCTGCAGGTCAGCACCACTCACCAAGTTTGTAGAGAACGAGGGGAGGTAAAGACCAGACAAGGTGCCAGAGGGGGCAGCCGGACACGGGAGGACAGTGGAGAAGTGAGAGAGGACAGGACCCCCAGAGGTGTCTGCCAGGGAGACTGCAATTGGCCGACCAAGCGGCGTAAGTGTGGTACGGTCTCGAAAGAAGGAGCGAGAAGCCCCTGAGTCAAGTGTGAAGGTGAGGGAGGCCGAAGCCGACGTGGTACTTGAGAGCGCAGACTCACCAGCACCTGAGGGCGCGGACGCACTGGCACCTAGAGCAGCAGCCTCACCAATACCTAGAGCAGCAGTACCAATGCCCGGGTCGGGCGGGAAACACCGGTAACAGTCACCCTCATCACTAATAGTCACAGCATACATGGCAGCAAGGATAGCATCAAAGTCAAGATCAAAGATAGCTACGCCTGCCCTAGACAGCTCTCCCCAGCGGGGGATCTCACTAGCCTCCGGGAACTGCTGACGCCAAGCGTCCGTCAGGCGGCCAAAGCAGTGCTGGTTGGGGTGAGCACCCCCACACTGCTCACCTGCGCGGTTGTCGGAGCGGAGGACGTAGGTGCACGGGCAAAAACCCCCACCACGCTGACGCTGCGTGTACCACTCACGGAGCTGCTGAGGAGGGGGGATGTCCCGAGAACGCTGCTGCTGCTGCTGCTGTTGGCGCGGACCACTCCCGGTGCCGCTCCGCTAAGAAGGGCCACCCCGACCAGCTCCACCTCCTCCACCACCGCCGCCTCCACCTCCGCCGCCACCGCCGCCTCCGCTCCCACCGCTACCGCCACCGCCGCCTCTGCCTCCGCCGCTGCCACCGCCACCTCCACCCCCGCCATCACTCCCACCGCCACCCCCACTCCCCCCGCCGCCCCCACCGCCACCTCCACCACCCCCGCTAGCCCCACCCGCGCCCTTGCCCCCCTTGCCCTTGCAAGAGCGGCGTCTCCCGCTAGGGGCAGACGCCGCAGCGACCGACTCAAGACCAACGAGGTCGGCCGCAGCAGCAGAGGCGACAGAGGGCAACAGGGGGGAAGGGGAACACCCCTCAAAGATGGGGGTGCGAGGGTCACCACGAGAGGCTCCTACAGCGACTATGCTCTTCTCCGCTGCTAGGAGGGCCTTCTCTAGGAGGTCAACAGTGAGAGTGGTGGGACAGACTAAGAGGAAGTGGTCCCTGACTACGCGAAGGGAGTCAGGGAGGCGAGTGACTATATAATAGAGAGTGATGTACATGGGGGGGGGATTCTTGGCGCAAAACTCAGCAGGAAGTGCGGCGCGGTAGCGAGTGTCACTAAGGCGGAGGTGCGTAACGAGGTCAGCGACTGTGGGAAAGGCAGCAAGGTCAGGAAAGAGGTACGGTAGCATGAGGCGGCTCAGTGCAGCAGTGGCAGGGGAAGAGTAGCGCGCAACTACAGCGTCGTACAAGGTGTGAGCACTCTTGTACTGACTAAAGTGCGCGCGCTCAGAGGTAGGCAGGTGGCGACGCACAGCAAGACGTGCAGCAGCATCGCGCGCGGCCCACTGGGAGCGAACAGTGGGGTCAGCATCAGCAGCAGGGGCAGGAGAGGCGCCAGAGGTGAGGTCAAAGAGGGAGAGACCGTCTGCCCTATCGCACTGTAAGAAGAGCTGCAGGTCATCTACCCAAACCTCAAAGTCAATGGCTCGACCCTCAGCGTCAAAAGCGAGAACACTAGGGGAAGCCATGACAGCAGTAGACTAGCGAGACCAACTGTAGGACAGGGGCAGTGCAGTGATAGAAGCGCTGGTCTCACCAGACAGGGCAAGTCGGGCAGCTCAGTAGTGCAGTAACACGGCAACACGGCTGCTCGGACGGCTCAGTAGCGACTGCGGCTCCGCGGCACCGGCGACTCGGCTGATCAGGCGGCTTGGGCGGCTCGGGCGCCTCGGGCGGCTCGGGCGGCTCAGGCGGCTCGGGCGGCTCGTGCGGCTCGGGTGGCTCAGGTGGCTCGGGCGGCTCGGGCGACTCGGGCGGCTCGGGTGTCTCAGGCGGCTCGGGCGGCCCGGGCGGCTCGGGCTGTTCTGGCAGTTTGGGTGGCGCGGGCGGTGTAGGGCGGCAGGGCCGCTGGTGAACGGTGGCGGGGCCGCTGAGTAGGGCAGCGGGGCCGCAGGAGTAGGGCGGCGGGGCCGTAGGAGTAGGGCGGCGGGGCCGCAGGAGTAGGGCGGCGAGGCCGCAGGAGTAGGGCGGCGGGGCCGCAGGAGTAGGGTGGCGGGGCCGCAGGAGTAGGGCGGCGGGGCCGCAGGAGTAGGGCGGCGGGGGCCGCAGGAGTAGGGCGGCGGGGCCGCTGCAGAAGGGCGGCGAGGCCGCTGAGCAGGGCAGCGGGGCCGCGAGGTAGGGCGACGGGATCGCGAGGTAGGGCGGCGGGGCCGCGAGGTAGGGCGGCGGGGCCGGGAGGTAGGGCGGCGGGGCCGCGAGGTAGGGCAGCGGGGCCGCGAGGTAAGGCGGCGGGGCCGCGAGGTAGGGCGACGGGGCCGTGAGGTAGGGCGGCGGGGCCGCGAGGTAGGGCGGCGGGGCCGCGAGGTAGGGCGGCGGGGCCGCGAGGTAGGGCGGCGGGGCCGCAAGGTAGGGCGGCGGGGTCGCGAGGTAGGGCGGCGGGGCCGCGAGGTAGGGCGGCGGGGCCGCGACGACGGGCGGCAGGGCCGAGGCGACGTGCAGCGGGGCCGCTAGGGTAAAGGGCTGCTAGGGCGGCTCGACGAAGTGCGACTCGGGCGGAGCGCGCTTCGGGCAGGAAAAAAAAAAAAAGAGGTCGATGTGGTGGGCCCTAGGCATAGTTCCCACGGGGGAACCTGCTCGATACCATGTGAGAATGAGAATGAGGATGAATGAACTATGAAACAGTTGGGTACAAGTACTAACCCTAATTGGGTTGTACCCCATATGGGCTACCCCACTACAGCCTACACAAAAGCATAAGCTATAATGTTCTGACACCCTTAAGCCGCCCTTACGGCCCCTCGCACGGCCCCTTACTGCCCCTTCGCGACGCCCGTCGGCTCCCCTCGCGGCGCCCTTACGGCCCCTTACGGCCTCGTCTTCGCCCCGTCTAGGCCCCTTACGGCCCCGTCGCCGCCCCGTCTAGGCCCCTTACGACCCCGTCGCCGCCCCGTCTGGGCCCCTTCCGGCCCCGTCGCCGCCCCGTCTAGGCCTCTTGCGGCCCCCTCTGCGGCCCCGTCTAGGCCCCGTTCGGCCCCTCTACGGACCCGTCTAGGCCCCTTGCGGCCCCTCTGCGGCCCCGTCTAGGCCCCTTGCGGCCCCGCTGCGGCCCCGTCTAGGCCCCGTGCGGCCCCTCTACGGCCCCGTCTAGGCCCCTTACGGCCCCTCTGCAGCCCTGTTGCGGCCCCTTGCGGCCCCTCTGCGGCCCCGTCGCCGCCACCTGCGGCCCCGTCGCCGTCACCTGCGGCCCCGTCGCCGTCACCTGCGGACACCCCGCCGCCACCTGCAGCCCCGTCGCCACCACCTGCGGCCCCGTCGCCGCCAACTGCGGCCACGCAGCCGCCACCTGCGGCCTCGCCGCCACCTGCGGCCTCGCCGCCACCTGCGGCCCCGTCGCCGTCACCTGCGGCCCCGTCGCCCTCCCCTAGCGGCCACGTCGCCGCCTCTACCGGCCCTGCCACCGCTCAGCCGCCCAGCGACCGAGCCGCCGAGCAGCCCAGCAGCCGAGCCGCCCAGCAGCCGAGCCGCCCACCTGCCGAGCAGCTGAGCCGCCCTTCAGCCGAGCCGCCCAGCAGCCGAGCCGCCCGGCCGCCGAGCCGCCGAGCCGCCGAGCCGCCCTACTGTCGATCCGCTACTGTTCCTACTGGTGAGCTCACTCCCTACTAGGCCACTGCAATCATGGCTACCCCCAGTGTCCTTACTTTTGATGCTGAGGGCCGTGCCGTTGACTTTGAGGTATGGGTCGATGACCTCCAGCTGTTCCTCCAGTGCGATAGGGCAGACGGTCTCTCTGTGTTCGCCGAGCCGCCCGACAGCCGAGTCGCCCAACAGCCGAGCCGCCGAGCCGCCGAGCCGCCCAGCAGCAGAGCCGCCGAGCCGCCCTGCCGTCGAGCCGCTACTGTTCCTACCAGCGCGCCCCAGCCCTACTTACTCGGACTGGTGAGATCACTCCCTGCTAGACCAATGCAGTCATGGCTACCCCCAGTGTCCTTACCTTTGATGATGAGGGTCGTGCTGTTTACTTTGAGGTTTGGGTCGATGACCTCCAGCTGTTCCTATAGTGCGATAGGGCAGACGGACTCTCTCTGTTCGATCTCACCTCTGGTGCCTCTCCTGCCCCGCCTGCTACTGCTGACAGCACTGTTCGCTCACAGTGGGTGACACGCGATGCTGCTGCCCGTCTTGCTGTGCGTCGCCACTTACCGACCACTGAGCGTGCACACTTTAGGCAGTACAAGAGTGCTCAGACCTTGTACGACGCTGTAGTTGCACGCTACTCTTCCCCTGCCACTGCTGCACTGAGCCGCCTCATGCTACCGTACCTCTTCCCTGACCTTGCTGCCTTTCCCACAGTCGCTGACCTCATTATGCACCTCCGCACTAGTGACACTCGCTACCGCGCTGCGCTTCCTGCTGAGTTCTGCGCCAAGAACCCCCCCCCCCCCCCCCCCCCCCCCCCCCCCCCCATGTACATCACCCTTTACTACATAGTCACCCGGCTCCCTGACTCTCTCCGCGTAGTCAGGGACCACTTCCTCTCAGTTTGCCCCACCACTCTCACCGTTGACCTCCTCGAGAAGGGCCTCCTAGCAGCAGAGAAGAGCATAGTCGCTGTAGGAGCCTCTCGTGGTGACCCTCGCACCCCCGTCTTTGAGGGGTGTTCCCCCTCCCCCCTCTTGACCTCTGTTGCTTCTGCTGCTGCGGCCGACCTCGTTGGTTTCGAGTCGGTCGGCGCTGCGTCTGCCCCTAGCGGGAGACGCCGCACCGGCAAGGGCAAGGGGGGCAAGGGCGCTGGAGGGGCTGGCGGGGGCGGTGGAGGTGGTGGTGGAGGCAGTGGAGGGGGTGGGGGTGGTGGTGGGAGTGGTGGCGGGGGTGGCGGCGGGAGCGGCAGCAGTGGAGGCAGTGGAGGCGGCGGTGGTGGCGGAGGGAGCGGAGGCGGCGGAGTTGGCGGAGGAGGCGGAGGTGGAGGAGGCGGCGGAGGCGGCGGCGGCGGCGGTGGTGGAGCGGGTCGCGACTCTGCGCAGAGGAGTGGGTCAGGTGGTGGTCCGCGCCAGCAGCAGCGGAGTGGTGTGACTCTGTCCCCTCAGCAGCTTCGTGAGTGGTACGCTGCGCGTCAGCGCGGTGGGGGTACTGGTCCCTGCACTTACGTCCTCCGTACCGGCGACCGAGCTGGTGAGCAGTGCGGGGGCCCGCACTCCACCCAGCGCTGCTTCGGTCGCCTGACGGACGCGTGGCGCCGCCAGTTCCCTGAGGCGTCAGAGATCCCTCGCTGGGGAGATCTGTCTAGGGCGGGGGCTGCCATCTTTGATCTTGACTATGATGCTATCCTTGCTGCCATGTATTCTGTGACTACTAGTGTTGAGGGTGACTGTTACCTGTATGTACCGCCTGACCCGGGCATTGAGGCCACTGCTCTAGATGCTGGTGAGGCTGCTGGTCTAGGTGCTACTGAGTCTACTACCCCGAGTGCTAGTGCATCTGCTGCCCCAGGTGCTGGTGAGTCTGCTCTCTCACGTACTGCGTCGGCTCAGGCCTTACACCCCTTCACCCTTGACTCGGGTGCGTCCCGCTCCTTCTTTCGAGACCGCACCACTCTTACGCCGCTCAGTCGGCCGGTTGCAGTCTCCCTGGCGGACCCCTCTAGGGGTCCTGTCTGGGAGCTTTCTGTCGGGCACAGGGCATCCGCCAGACCTTCACGCTTCCGGCCTCTCCACAACAAAATGGGATTGCTGAGCGCCGCATTGGCATGGTCATGGACGTCGCTCGTACGTCCATGATCCATACGGCTGCCCCCCATTTTCTGTGGCCGTTTGCGGTTCAGTACGCGGCGCATCAGCTCAACCTTCAGCCCCCGGTCTCCTTGCCAGAGACCTCCCCCACCTTGCGGTGGACGGGGAAGGTTGGTGATGCGTCTGCGTTACAGGTCTGGGGATCTCAGGCGTTTGTCCGCAACTTGTCTTCGGACAAGCTGTCCCCCCGTACTGTTCCCTACGTCTTCCTCGGCTTCCCCCCTGACGCGCCTGGGTGGCAGTTTTACCACCCCACCTCGCGCCGTGTTCTGTCCTCCCAGGACGTCACCTTTGACGAGTCGGTGCCTTACTACCGTCTCTTCCCCTACCACGCTGCGCCCCTTCCCCCGCCGCCGCTCTTCCTTGTGCTAGGTCCTCCCCCGGTAGACCCCCTCCCCCCTCAGGGTCCTGCCCCGTCAGGTGTGTCCCAGGTAGACGCAGTCGAGCCTGTCGAGGTAGATGTTGACTTTGGTGCTGCTAGAGGTGCTGAGCCTGCGGGTGCCGGGTCTGGAGGTGCTGAGCCTACGGGTGCTGAGTCTGGGGGTGCTGGGCCTGGGGGTGCTGAGAGTGGGGGTGCTGAGCCTGGGGGTGTTGGGTCTGGGGGTGCGGAGCCTAGGGGCGGTGGGTCTGCTCGTGTGGCCGCCGGCGGTGCTTCGTCGAGGCGGGAGCCACTCTCTCCGCAGGAGCTGCGCGAGTGGTTTGCCCGGCGCTGGAGTCGTGCTGCTGGAGCTGGAGGCACTACTGTTGCTGCTGGTTCCGGAGGTGCTCGTACTGGCGGTACTGGAGCTGGTGGGACTGGGGGTGCTGCTGGAGCTGCTGGAGTTGGTCCTGCTGGAGCTGGTGGCGGTGGTGGATCTGCCGGTCCTGCTGGAGTTGGTACTACTAGTGCTGCTGGAGCTGGAGGTACAGGGGGTATTGGCGCTGGTGTTTCTGCTGGCGCTAGTGCGTTTGAGGTTGCTGGAGCTAACGCTGTTGGAGCTGGAGGTGCGGCTGGCGCTGGTGCTGCTGCTGGGGGTACTGGTGCCGTCCCTGCTGGTTCTGGAGGCGCTACGCGACCGAGGCCGTACTTCGTTCCGCTCCTTGAGCAGGTTCTTGGTCTCCCGCCCTCTACTGGTCCTGCTCCTCCCTTAGAGTGTCCACTGCCCGTCCAGTCGCAGTCACAGTTACAGCCCGCCTCCCCTCTTCCTGCTCCTTCTCCCTACAGTGGTCCTACTAGAGGTCGTGCTGAGCGTCGTGAACCTGCGTCTCGTCCTGCGTTGCATGTTCGCACTGCTCGCACTAGTCGTCGTGTTCCGCGTCCTCCTACGGTTCCAGGCACACACCAGATGGCACTGCGTCCTTCCACTGCTCCTCTGCGTGTCCCGTTGCCGTCTCCACTAGAGTCCTTTCTTCCTGTCCTTCCTGAACCTGAGTCTGACTCTCTTCGTGCTGCCAGTCTTACTGTCACGCGTCTCCTGGCCACTGTTGTCACTGACCCTTCCTTTGAGTCCACTGCTTCGTCCGCTGCTCGCTGTCGTCTAGACTACGCAACTAATCTTGTTGCTGAGTCCGAGTCTGTTTGTCCTCCGTCTGTCGAGGGTGGGTGTGCTCTTAGCACGGACGTCCTTGAGGACAGGTAGGAGGAGTTCCAGTGTTTTGCCGCTGCTTTGCCTCATCTCGTGTCCACGCAGATTGCCCCTGAGGGAGACCCAGATGCACCAGACATCCCGACTCCTCGATCGTACGCTGAGGCGATCGAGGGTCCCTACTCCTCTTAGTGGCAGTCAGCCATGGACGTAGAGATGGCTTCCTGGAAGTCCACAGGCACCTACGTCGACGAGGTTCCCCCACCTGGGGCGAACATCTTCAGTGGCATGTGGATTTTCAGGGTGAAGCGGCCGCCGGGTTCTCCGCCTGTCTTCAAAGCGCGTTACGTGGCTTGAGGCTTCAGTCAGCGGCAGGGAGTTGACTACTTTCAGACCTTCTCTCCCACCCCAAAGATGACCACTCTTCGGGTGCTGCTGCACATAGCCGCTCAGCGCGACTACGAGCTTCACTCTCTTAACTTCAGCACAGCTTTCCTGCAGGGCAGCCTGCACGAGGAGATCTGGCTGCGCCGCCCACCTGGCTTCACTGGGTCGTTTCCTCTTGGTACCCAATGGAGCCTCCGGCGGCCAGTCTACGGTCTACGCTAGGCGCCCCGTGAGTGGCACGACACACTGAGGACTACACTTGCGGCTCTTGGGTTTGCTCCTTCTACAGCCGGCCCGTCGCTGTTTCTGCGCACCAACACCTCTTTGCCGCCGTTCTACATCCTCGTGTACGTCGACAACTTGGTCTTTGCCACTGCTGACATTGCTGGACTCGCCCACGTGAAGTCCGAGCTGCAGAAGAGACACACGTGTACAGACCTGGGTGAACTACGCGGCTACCTTGGCTTGCAGATCACCCGGGACAGAGCACGCCGTACCATTACCCTGACTTAGTCACACATGGTGCAGTAGGTCCTTCAGCGCTTCGGCTTCACGTACTCCTCGCCTCAGGCCACTCCTCTGTCTACTCGCCACTCGCTCTCAGCTTTGCCTTCGGATGAGTCCGTAGAGCCGAGTGGCCCGTACCGAGAGCTTGTTGGCTGCCTCATGTACCTGATGACCTGTACACGACCTGACCTTGCATACCCTCTTAGCATCTTGGCACGCTATGTTGCTCCTGGGAGACACCGACTAGAGCACATGGCTGCAGCGAAGAGGGTGTTGCGCTACGTGTGCAGTACGTCGGGCATGGGGCTAGTGCTTGGAGGGCGATGTCGAGTGGTCCTCACAGGTCACGCAGACGCTTTTTGGGCTGACGACCAGCCGACACCCCGGTCGTCAAAGGGTTACACCTTCAGCCTTGGCTCCGGCTCTATTTCGTGGCGGTCTACCCGCTCGTCTTCTGTTCTCACCTCCAGCCGTGAGGCTGAGATCTACGCGGGGGCCATGGCTGCACAGGACCTACGCTGGCTCACCTACCTGCTTACTGACCTAGGAGAGCCGCCTCGTTCTCCTCCAGTTCTGTGCGTAGACAACAAGGCCATGCTGGCTTTGTGTAGGGAGCACAGACTGGAGCACAGAACGAAGCAGATTGCTCTTTGCTACTTCCTGGCTCGTGAGGTGCAGCAGCGTGGTCAGCTCCGCCTCACCTACGTGGCCTCTGAGGCCAACACTTCTGATATCTTTACGAAGGCCCTTCCGCCTTGTGATCATCAGCGCTTTTGTGCTATGCTAGGTCTTGTGCCTACTTGGCCTCACTTGCTCACTTCTTGACCTCGTTTGTACTATACTCTTTCTATACCTGCACTTGCTTGTTTACCTTTATATATATAATCATCTTGCATATGAACTGGCCTTCTGGCCTTGCTCTTGTGCTCGGACTGTGTGGTGACATTGTGATCCACCCTGAGCTTGTTTTGCTTTGCTTGACTAGTCTTGTGACCCCTTGTTCTCCCCCACTTTGCCTATGGGGGTGTGTCAGGCATATATGCTACAGTCTGTGTAGGCGTTAGTGGGGCAGTTCATATGGGGTACAACACTTTAAGGTTTACTACTTGTACTCCTCATTCTGCTCAATGCACCCATTCCTCGTTTCTTATTAGTAACCTCCAGCAGTTGCTCAACCTCCGAGGGGTGACTTGCTGATGCTTCGCTATGTTTCGCTTTGTTTACGATGTCAGATTTATATGACATAGCTACTGTAGGCTATAGTGGGGTAGTACATATGGGGTACAGCTTTCTAGTGTTTGCACTTGTACCCAACTTTCTCTTAGTTATTTCATTCTCATTTACTTTCTCATGGTATCAAGCAGGTTCCCTTGTGGGAACTGTTCCTAGGTCCCACCACCTTTTGTTTCCTGCCCGGAGCGCGCTCTACACTGCCCGAGTCGCGCTCCCCTCTCACGGCCCCGTCGAGCCGCCCTTTCGACCCTGTCGCGTCGCGCTTGCGGCCCCGTTGCGTCGCCCTCGCGGCCCCTTCACGTCGCGCCGCCCTAGTGGCCGCGTCGCGCCGCCCTCGCGGCCCCGATCCGCCGCCCTCGCGGCTCCGTCGTGTCGCGTTGCCCTCGCGGCCCTTTCACGCCGCCCTCGCGGCCCTTTCTAGCCGTCCTCGCGGCCTCTTCAAACCGCCCTCGCGACCCCCCCCCCCCCCTCCTAGCCGCCCTAGCGGCCCCGTCGCCTACCCCTGCAGCCTCGGCGCCGCCCTTACGTGCCTCGGCGCCGCCTTTGCTGGCCCCGTAGCCTACCCCTGCGGCCCCGGAGCTGCCTTTCCCGGCCCCGGCGCCACCTCTACTGGCCCCGACGCTGCTCCACCCGGCCCCGACGCCGCTCCAGCCGGCCCCGACGCTGCTCCCCCCGGCCCCGCCGCCGCTCCACCCGGCCCCGCCGCCGTACCCACGCGGCCCCGCCGTCACCACCGAGCCGCCGGCGCCGCCGAGCTGCTGCCGAGCCGCCCGATCCACCCGAGCCGCCCAAGCCGCCGCGCCACCTAAGCCGCCCGAGCCGCCGGGTCGCCGAGCCGCCGAGCTGCAGTTGCTGCCGAGCCGCTGTACCGCCGAGCTGCCCGAGCCGCCCGAGCCGCCCGAGCCGCCCGAGCCGCCGAGTCGCCGAGCCGCAGTTGCTGCCGAGCCGCCGTACTGCCGAGCCGCCCAAGCCGCCCGAGCCGCCGAGTTGCCGAGCCGCCGAGCTGCCGAGCCGCCCGAGCCGCCCTGTCCGGTAAGAGCAGTAGGTGAGCACGAAGACCGGTGCACCTGCAAGGTGTGGACACTTGTACCTCTCGTGCTTCACCGATGCTACCTGGGCAAGTGACACCAGTGATGCAACATCCCATGGTGGCTATGTATGCTGTGCTGGAGGGAGTCCAGTGAGCTAGAAGTCTAAGAATCAAGGGGAGATAGCTCACTCATCAACGGAGAGCGAGTACATGGCGTTGTTTCATGGGGTGAAGGAGGTGGTTCGGATGAGACGTTGCTTGAGGAGTTGGGGCAAGAGCAAGAGGGTCCTACACCTGTGTTTTGTGACAGCCAAGGAGCAATTGCAATGGCTCGCAATGCTGTGCTCCATGGGCTGAACAAGCACATGCATATCAAATGGCTTTGGGTGAGGAAGGAGGTGAAGAAGGGCACGGTCTCCTTGCACTACATCAACACTACCAAGCAACCTGCAGAATTTTTAACGAAGCGGCTTGCAGAGGATCAGCATTGGACCTGTGCCACCTTGTGTGGCATGTCCTTCAACTAAGGGGATGATTGGGCATCATGGAGCTTCAGGATGGAGCTCCTCTTCAACCATTATGGGCTGCTTGAAGTGATGGATGGAGAATTGAAGAGGCCTACGAGCGAAGGAGCGACCAAAGAATGGGATCGCCTGTCCAAGGATTGATTCTTCCTTCTCTCCCAGTGCCTCTCATCCAACCAGCTGCACCAC